TGGGATGGAGTTTCATTCTTGTTACGATCTCGGCTCACCGCAACCTCCGCCTCCTGGGTTCAGGCAATTCTCCTGCCTCAGCCTCCCGAGTAGCTGGGACAACAGGCATGCGCCACCATGCCCAGCTAATTTTTTGTATTTTTAGTAGAGACAGGGTTTCACCATGTTGACCAGGATGGTCTTGATCTTTTGACCTCGTGATCCACCCGCCTCGGCCTCCCAAAGTGCTGGGATTACAGGCTTGAGCCACCGTGCCCGGCCAGGGTTTTTGCTTTTCCCTGATCTTGTTTGAGAGAGAAAATAAACACCGATGTGAAAATGTGATAGATTGGATATGCCTCATGACAGAATATGCAAATTCATGTATATCTGTGGTGCTTTAAAGCAATCCTCGTCACCTTTTCTAATAGCTAACACTGTAGACAGTTGGAAATTGAGGTACAAATAAATGAAATGTCATGCAGGTTCCCCATGCTGTTTAGTCAGTGGCTGATCTTATCAGTCGTTGTAGTACTCAGTGCATCGTTCTGTTCATGTCCTACTTTTTCTTTTCTTTCTTTTCTTTTTCTTTTCTTCGAGACAGGGTCTCACTCTGTCACCCAGGCTGGAGTGGTGTGGTATGCTCATGTCTCACTGCAGCCTCAACCTCCTGGGTTCAAGCAATCCTCCCACCTCAGCCTTCCAAGTAGCTGGGAGTACAGGAATGCAACCCCATGCCTAGCTAATTTGCATATGTTTGGTAGAGACAGGGTTCTGCCATGTTGCCCAACCTTATCTACGTTTTTTGTCGAAGCAGTTCTGCAAATCACCCTCCTTTTTAGTAAGACGCCTCCATTTTAGTATTTTCTATAAAGTTCAAAGACATAAATGTGCTGGTGTCAAATTAAGGTAAAGTCATTGGAGCTATCTAAAAATAAAATTATTGAACTTTATGATGAATTTGAGGTTTAGTGCTTTGAACTTGAAAGTTGTCAGTAGTAGAAAATAATTGTCAGATGGCTCACTTAGTCTATATATTCATATGCTCCCACAGCACTTAAGTTTTCATGGGGTGTGTGGTACTTGGGAGAAGACCAAGAATAGGACTGGGTAAGCCTTTTGTAAGCACATTGGGAACCTCTGCTTTATTTCGCCTTAGCCCAGTAATGTAGTACATGGTTTCTCAACTTCCTTGATCACCTTTATTATAACTTTCATTTGAAATCAGCTCTGTTTCCAGAATGCCACCAAGGTCATATCTGGAATTTTATTCAGTTCTCGTGGCAAATCTTTATGGTTGAGTATAATACCACCGTTTTCTATTTGAGGAAACTGGAATATTCTCTCCTAGGTCAGTATTTCCTTCACAGCCTGTCATGATATTTTAGGACATTAAACAGACTTTACGAGTGAGTTGTTTTCAGCGCGGGAACAGTGTGAGAAACTGGAGTTATCCCAAAATTAAAATAGTGGCTAATTTCAGGTGAACTTTGGGTTTTGAGGGTGTTATTTTAGAAAGGACCTTTTCGATTTGTTGTTACTTTCTTAATTATACTTTTCATCTTAAGGATAATAGTTGGGAACAGTCAAAGTTGAGCAGGGAAAAAGATGACCAACTTTCCTATAGCTGCTTTGTTTTCTCTAACAGTTTCTTCTCTGCATTTTGGCACATTGGCAATTTATTTGGAGAAGGTGTGGTGAGAAAAGATGAACACCTAAAAGATTATTTTTGTTATTTAAAATGTTTTTTGGCTGCGTATGGTGGTTCTTGTTTCTAATCCCAGCACTTGGGGAAGCGGAGTTGGGAGGTTAACTTGAGCCCAAGGTTCAAGACCAGCCTGGGCAACATAGGGAGACTCCTGTCTCTACAAAGGACTTTTAAAAACTGTCTGGGTATAGTGATAGGAGCCTGTAGTCCCAGCTATTCAAGAGGCTAAGGTAGGAGGATCGCTTGAGGCCAGGAGCTTGAGGCTGCAGTGAGCTATGGTTCCCCTGTAGTCCAGTGTGGGTGACATAGCAATCCTGTCTCAAAAAAAAAAAAAAATTTTTTTTTACAAAGTTGCAAACACATACAAAAATAGAATAACACAATGAACCACATATATATATTTATTACTCAGAGTCAACAATTTTCAGATATTGCCACATTTGCCTTGTCTCTCCCTTTGTAAATTTCAGACTTGCCTACTATACCTGTAATATGTCAGCTTACATCACTAAAAAAGAAACACATTACATAAATGCAATGCTTATATCATAGCTAATAAAATGAACACTAATTCTTTGATATTGTCAATTATGCAGTCCATAATTACATTTCCTTTGTTCTTAGAGAGGACTTTTTATGGTTGGTTGGTTCAAATCCTGATCAGATAAGTTTCACACATTAAATTTGGTTAAAGACCAGTTTTTTAAACAGGTGATTGTTAAAGAGCCACATAGGGAAGCTTTTATTGAATCTTCCAACAATTTTACTTTCTGTTCCCTGTAACACTTTTTTCATTTTAAACTAATTCTTTTTGTGGGGGTTGGGGGGGAATGGGTAGAGAAGAGAATCCCAAACTTGGTATATTACAATTAAGACATTAAACGTTTATTTTAGAAATAAATAGTTGAAATGGCAACTTAGAGGTTTACTAGATTATATAATCAGTGGTCCAAAGAGGATCTTAGGAATTCCCTTTCACACTCGACTGTATAGAATTGTCCTGAATCTTTAAAAATAATGCTAGAATCATTTTGGGTATGATGCACTGCTGTATATAACTATCAAGGATAATTTTGCCTGGGATGTTCCAACTAAGTATTTTGATCAAATTTAATAGTGGAAATGGTAGAGCATGGCCATAAAAATGGTTTTCCCTAGCTTTTGCTTAATCTTGGTTTAAACCAGATTTACTAATTTCCAAGATAAACTTAGAAATTTACATTAGACTTTTAGTCTTTGACACAATTTCCTAGACGTATCTAGAGAGAGATATACAAATTAGTTTTGTATTAAAGAGATTGCTGAATCTTTTGAATATTGCAGAGGAATTCATCTTGTCAATATTTTATTTTTTGGAAAAAGATCATAGAGTAATATGAAAGTCTTTGTAGGACATTGGCATTCTAATTTTGTTTTAAAAAATGCAGTTTATCAGAACTCCCCATATGGTGCTGAATCAGACATTATAGTCGGAAAAGATGGACTCCCATTTCAGAACAAGCATGCATAGTTGTGCAGGTTGTACACTGTCCAGTGCATAGTGGAGGCATTCATGCAAGGGTCAACTTGTGTATTAGGACAGTTTCTGGCTGATGGCAGTATGGTGTCTAGAGGAGGGAACACCTGTTTCTGTTTTTTACAAAGACTTTGTAGGGGCTAGCAATAGTACTGTTTTCAGTTTCTGTTTACAAATGAGTATTTGTTGAAGTGATTGAGAAGAAGTCTGTACATGACATCTCATTTTATATGAGATTGTCTCATACTCTCTCAATACTCACTTATTGGCAACCTCAGTTATCTGTAACAGAGGCCACAGCTAAAATAAAGTGAAACTGGGCCAGTGAAGTGAAAATAAATCATATAGTTTATGAACATCATATTTTACATTTAAAAGAGACTATTAATTTTACATATGCAGCTCTAGCCCATTTATCTGTTTTCCAGTGCAGTAATTTAAAAGCAAGCAGAGGGGAGGAGGCTGCTAAAATAGCTAGCAGAAGTGATAAATGAAAACTAATAGCCAGGTGACCAATAGTTGAGAAAGAAAATTCAGGAAAAGTAGACATAAGAGCCCAAACAAACACAAACAAAACTACTATAGATTGGTTTTTGGTTAATAGACGGAGATGCATTTCTAGCTCGGAAGTATCAGGGAGAGTACTGTTTTGCTGCAAAATGTAGTCAGTGATGTTCTTAATACTGATCCTGAGTTACCACGAAATGTTAAATGAGAGGATAACAAATCCTCTGTAATGAAAGGAGTTTGTAACGTATTTTAAAAAGCTTTTTCTCATCTAAGATTTCAAATACTGTGGGTGCTTAAAGAGGTTTGGATGCCTGGGTAGCATCTACTTAATGAAGTGTGTAGTTAGATATCTTTGTTACCTATCGATTTCTCCTATGTGAACCATTACTTTTTCTAAAGGTGCCAGATAAATTATGTTTCTGTGGTCTGATCACATTTAGGAATCTTGTTTCTAAGAAAGGGATTCGGGGCAGGTAAGAATATGAAAATAAGGCCTGGCATGGTAGTGCACACCTATAACCCCAGCTCTTTGAGGAGGCTCAGGTAGGATGATCACTTGGGCAAGGAGTTAGAGACCAGACTGGTCAACATAGTGAGACCAAAATAAAATGAAACAAACAGCTGGGCATGATGGCACATACCTGTAGTCCTTGTTAACTGAGGAGGCTGAGGTGGGAGGATTGCTTGAGCCCAGGAGTTTAAGGTTACAGTAAGCTATGATTGCATCGTTGTACTCCAGCCTTGGTGACAGAGTGAGACCATCTCTTAAAAAAAAGAAAATATTTGCTACAGATTTTCCATTTGTGGTATCTAACATATAGTAAACACTCAAATATTTGTTGTCTTTTGAATTCCTTAATTCTTGCTTAAAAAAAAAGTAGCTTATCTGACCTAAAATTTTAATGTGTGAAAATTTGTAGTCGAAAAATCTCTGGGCTGGGTGTGGTGGCTTGCTTATGCCTGTAATCCCAGCATTTTTGGAGGCTGAGGCAGGAGGATGATTTGAGGCATGGAGTTTGAGACCAGCTTGGGCAACATAGCAAGACTCTGTCTCTACTAAATAGAAAAAGAAATTACCCAGGCATGGTGTTGGGTGCCTATAGTCCCAGCTACTCAGGAGGCTGAGATGGGGGGAATCACTTGGGCCCAGGAGCTTGAGGCTACAGTGAGTCATGTACATGTCACTGTACTCCAGCCTGGGCAACAGAGTGAGAACCTGTCTCCAAAAAAAAAGAAAAAAAAAAATCTCTTGACTTGTAAAAATATTTTAAACTTGTTGAATTATAGGCTGAAGACTTTAAGTGACAAGTCAAGAGAAGCAAAAGTGAAAAGCAAACCCAGGTAAGCTTATGCTAAGATTTTAACTTACTCTGACTGAAATTTCATACAACTTTTGGTTGTGTTCATAATTGTATAATTACATTAATGAACCTTAGATTTGTTGAGTGCGTCTGACTACAAAATAATTGATTCTTTCTAAAACATGTAACAGGAAAATTTTCTAATAAAATTGTGAAATTGTATTAAATGTTGAAGTATAATTGTTTTACTCTGACAATCAGTGAGTATTATTTGATCACAGTTAGTCATTTTCAATTTGTATAAGAGCAAAAGTAAAAGTCCTGAATTATTGAAACGCAAATGAATAATGAAATAGTACTTGGCAAATTAGCCTCTTTCACCATGTTACCTGTTTTATATGAAAACACCAGGATTGTGTTGTCTGTCTTTTTTTTAATAAAGTAAAGCATGTGACCAAATTTCATTTTCAACCTAGAGATGAACTTTGATATTTCATATTTATTCTCATCCAACATTATATTAAATCATTTATCTTATTATGTGAAAGACACTCTCTAGGGCAAAATGATGATTGGTAGTATGTTACAGTACATTAACTCTGAAATAAAACACATTTCTCTAAAAGTTTAAATTGTCATTAGTGATTTTAAAATATCTCATATACAATTGACAGTGTCAAAATTCTTGTATGTACCTTTTTTTAAAGTTGGCTAAATCAAGAACACTTTTAATATGTATTTCTTTTGGGCAGGACTGTTCCATATTTGCCAAAGTACTCTGCTGGGTTAGAATTACTTAGCAGGTAAGTGTTTTCATTTGTAGAGGAAGGTTACACTGGTAACTGTTTTAGCGACTAAAAATATCTTTTAATTTTATAGGTAAAAACCTTAAAACAGCTAAATTTTATCTTAATGTAGTGATTGGAAATTATTTATGTATTATTTTCCATAAGGGCTTTCACTTTTCACTGATTAGTACAAAAGCCATTCAGACTTTGACCAGATAGGTCACTATTGCATTTACCAATCATCAATATTTTATTATGTCTACTGATAATATGTATAACTTCTTTGTTACAAGAGAAGTGATTCTGGATATGAGTCCTTAGTAATTTTGTTTTTTTAATGTGATTCTTAATATCATTTCTTTTCCAATCCATTCTTTATTGACATGGAGGTTAAAATGAAAGTATATGGTCTTTTTAGATATAACATCAAAAGCACAAGCAACAAGATAGAAATTATATACAATGACTTGTTCGAAATTAAATACGTTTGTCTGTCAAAGAGCACCGTCAAGATAGAGGAGTGACAACACATAGAATGTGAGAAAATATTTGCAGGTCATATATATGAGGAGTGACATGTATCCAGAATATATAAAGAACTTTTATGACTTAATGAAAAGCCAACCTCTGAAGAAATAGGCAAACTATTTGAATAGACATTTCTCAAAAGAAGATATACAAATGACCGATAAGCACATGAAAAGACACTCAAAATTGTTAGTCTTCAAGGAAGTGCAAATCAAAACTACAATGAGGCCAGCCGTGGTGACTCATGCCTGTAATCCCAGCAATTTGGGAGGCTGAGGTGGGTGGATAACTTGAGGTCAGGAGTTCGAGACCAGCCTGGCCAACATGGTGAAACCCTGTCTCTACTAAAAATACAAGAATTAGCTGGGTGTGGTGGTGGGGGCCTATAATCCCAGCTACTCAGGAGGCTGAGGAGGGAGAAGCACTTGAACCCAGTAGGCAGAGGTTGCTGTGAGCAAAGAACAGGCCACTGCACTCCAGCCTGGGTGACAGAGCGAGACTCCAACTCAAAAAAAAAAAACAGACAAAAAACCACAATGACATATCACTTTACACTCACTAGCATGGCTATAATAAAAACACAGATGATAACAAGCGCTGGTGAGGATGCTGAGAAATTATAACCCTTATTCATGGCTTATAGTTATGTAAAATGGTATACCCACTTTGGAAAACAGTTTGGTAACCAGGTTATCAAAAAGTTAAACATAGAATTACAGGTTGAGTTTCTAATTTAAAAAATTGAAAATCCGAAGTGCTTCCAATTCAAAACTTTTTGAGTGCCCACATGTTCAGAAGAAATGCTCTTCTGAACATGGATTTTTGGATTAGTGATGTTCAACTAGTATAATGCAAATTCCAAAATTGGAAAAAAATCCAAAATTTGAAATACTTCCGTTCCCAGGCATTTTGGATAAGTGACACTCAACCTATACCACATGACCCAGCAACTTCACCCCGAGAAGGTTAAAAACCTATGTCTCATGAAAACTTGTGCATGAATGTGCATAGCAGTATTCATAATAGCCAAAAAAATAGGAACAGCACATATGTCTATTAGCTGACGAATGGCTAAACGAAATGTGACATATACATATAATGAACTATTATTTACCCTCAAAAATAATGAAATACTGATACATACTACAATGTGGATGAAACTTAAATATATTATGCAAAGTGAAAGGAGGCAGCACAAAAGACCACAGTATTATATCATTCCATTTGTAAGAAATGACCAGAGTAGGCAAATCCATAGAGATAGAAAGTAGGTTAGTGGTTGCCAGTGTTTGCACGGGAGAGGGGAATTGGTAGTAACTGCTTCTGGGTTTGGGGTTTCTTTTTCAGGTGATGAAAATGTTTTGGAATTAAATAGTGATACTAGCTGTGCAACTTTGTAAATACAGTGTACTAAAAACTACTGAAGTATGCCCTTTAAAAGGATGAATTTTATGGTATGAAAGTTATAGGTCAATAAAATGATTATAAAAAGTACAGTATAGGATTTAAGTATGTTATTGTACATAGTTCTCTGCTAATATGCCGTTTGACAGATGTGTGGTAAAGATGTATGTGGGAGAGGGTATGTTGCTTTTCTTTATCTGTATTGGTTATGACACAGTCACTGCTATCTACGTTTTCCTTATTCCTTCTAAACTCTTCATTGGGTTTCTTTTTATGGATGCTAGATGTAGAGATTTTTCTCCTCTGAAGTGTAAAGTACTTAATTTGATATTTTCTGCCTTGGTTTTGTTGCACGTAGAACAAAAATGAACATGAAAGGAGCTGTAGTACAAATTAAGCAGTAGTGTATGGTTTACTATTTACATTTTATCTGTATTTTTTTTCTCTAGAGACTTAGTTGAAATAACTTCTTTTTACTGAAAAATTTATGTTAGAGCTATCAACTTTTTTGCATGGTAGTTTTTTTTTGGGATAGAGATGCATTTTGGGAGTTAATATGGAAAATTTATTTACATAAGAGGATGTCAATAATGTGTCCATTCATAGCACCGAAATGGTCTTTTCTCATTGGAACTAAAATTGAATGTGGGAAAGACCATTTTAAATAGCAGATATTTAAATTATATTTTTAATTTTTAAAATGTATACATAACAAAATTTATCTTAGCTATTCTTAAGTTTAGTAGTGCTGAGTACATTCACATAGTTGTGCATCTAATCCTGAAAATTCTTTTCATCTTGCAAAATGGAAATTCTGTACATATTAACCAAGAGCTCTCATTTCTAACCTCTCCTTTCCATACCAGGCAACCATCATTCTGTTTTCTTTCTCTGTGAATTTGACTGTTCTGGGAATATCATAAAAGTGAAATTATAAAGTATTTTTGCTTGTGAGTGACTTATTTAGCATAATTTTTTTCAAGATTTATCTTGTAGTATGTATCAGAATTTTCTTTGTTTGAGAAGCTGAATATTCTCTTGTAAGTATGTACACTTTGTTTATTCATCTGTTGATGGAGACTTGAGTTTCTTCCGCTTTTTGGCTGTTTTAAATAATGTTGCTATTTATTTAAATATCTTTTTGACAAGTGGACAAAAGTACCTTTTTGACACCTTGCTTTCATTTCCTTTGGGTGTATACCCAGCAATAGAATTACTGGATCATATGGTAATTCCATGTTTCCTTCTTTCTGGAAACACCATACTGTTTTCCATAGTGACTGTATCATTTTACTTTCCCATCAGTATTATAAAAGGGTTCTAATTTCTTCCTATCCTTGTCAACGCTTGCTATTTTCTTATATTTTATTATAGCCATTCTCATGAGTGTGAGGATTTTCCCCTGTGTTTTCTTCTAAGAGTTTTTTTTTTTTTCAAGATTGTTTTAGCTATTCAAGGTCATTTGAAATTTTATATGAATTTTAAGATGTATTTCCTATTTTTTGCAAAGAATGTGTCATTGGGATTTTGATTGGGATTAAATTGAATTTGTGGTTGTTTTGCTCATTACAGATAATGGTAAGTTTCCCAATCCATTAACATGGGGTGCCTTTTCTATTTATGTCTTAATTTCTTTCACTATTGTTTTGTAGTTTTCATTGTATGAGTCTTTCATCATCTTTGTTACTTTTAAGTGTTTTTAATGCTATTGTAAATGGAATTGTTTTCTTAATTTCTGTTTTGAATTATTTATTGGTAGTATATAGAAACAACTGACTTGTGTGTTGATTTTGTATGGTACTTTGCTGAGTTCCTTTATTCTGATAGTTTTTTTTGTAGTGCTTTTAGGGTTTTCTGCATATAAGATCATACCATTTATGAATAAAAATCATTTTACTTCATTCATTCCAATTTGAATGCCTTTTATTTCTGTTTCTTGCCTAATTACTTTGGCTAGACCATCCAGTACTCTGCTGAATCCAAGTGGAAAAAGCAGGCATCCTTGTCTTAGAGGAAAAGCTTTAAGTCTTTCAACATTGAGTATAATGTCAACTATGAATTTTTATTGTGTTGAGATTGTTCCCTTCTACTTCTAGTTTTAGTGTTTTTATCATGAAAGGATGTTGAATTTTTTCAGATAATTCTGTATGAATTAGGATGACCATGTGTTTTTTTTCCTTTCATTCTACCAATCTACTATATTATTACATTGACAGATTTTCGTATGTTGAACCATTCTTGCATTCCAGGAATAAATCCCACCTAAAAATTGTGTATAATCCTTTTAACATCGTGCAGAATTTAGTTTGCCAGTATTTTGTTGAAGATTTTTGCATTAGCATTCATAAGGGGGGTTATTGGTCTGTAGTTTTCTTTTCTTGTATGCCTTTGGTTTTGGTATTGGGGTAATGCTGGCTTATAGAATGAGTTAGGATTTATTCCTTCCTCTTCATTTTCTTTTTAAAGAGAGTTGAGAATGGTCAATGTTGGTTGACCAAAATTCTACCAAATTGAATTTGATAGAATTCACCTGTGAAGTAATCAAGTCCAGGGTTTTTCATCTTGTTTTTTATTACTGATTCAATTTTCCATTTCTTCAGGATTCAGTCTTGGTAGGTTTTGTATTTGTGGAAATTTGTCCATTTCAGTGAGGATATCCAATTTGTTAGCATACATTGTTTATAGCATTCTCTTATAATCCTTTTTATTTCTATAAGTTTCATGGTAATAATTTCATTCATTATGGTTTTAGTAACTTGAGTCTTTTCTTAGTCAATCTAGATAAACATTTGTTAATTTTGATGATTTAAATTGGTTTATCTTCAATCATGTTGATTCTTTCTTCAGCTCAAATATGCTTTTGAACTCCTCTAGTGAATTATTCATTTCAGTTATTATACTTTTAATTTCCAGAGTTTCTTATTGGTTCCTTTCTGTTTTATATTGACTACTGGTAGATATAAACAGTAATGGTATCGATGTTACCATTTTGTTCATGTATCATTTTTCACATCTGACTGGCATGAGATTGTATGTATCTCATTGTGGTTTTAATTTGCATTTCTCTGGTGATTAGTGCTGTT